AGAAAGAGCATCTTCAGTGGGAAGATCACAGGGCAAGTAACAGGACTTGTTGACTGGAGCAGATGTGAAGTAGGCAAGTGTCATATGGATCTGTCAGAAGTCTCCAAGAGTATCAATGTGAGGCCCATGTGTGGCCCCAGGGACCCATCACATATAGTGACAGCAAAGAAAATGGTTTACAATGAGCCCAAGCCAGAAACAATCCTTTGGGCTTTCTCAATATGGCACCCCAATAGGAAATAAAGCATACAAAAGATGTGTCATTTGAAATAAAAAATTAAAAAAAAAAAAGAAATCTTTGTAAAGATTTGGCTGTCAACAATTCTGACCATATTTAGCCTATCTTACCTCTGGTTTCTAGCAAGTGATAGACTGAGCTGTCCTGACACTGGCCAGGGAAAAGTTGTACAAAAGAATGGCCGTCTGTTTATCCATTGTAGTGACCAGCTCTCTTCTTCCTTTTCCACTGCCTTCATGTAATCACTGTAGTGCTTTAGTGCTCTTAATTAATTCAATTTTATTTATGGTCTGTTCTTTTTTCCATTTACAGCAACTTTTCTTTCCTTTTTTTTTTTTTTAATTTATTTTTGAGGGAGTGTAAGCAGGGGAGGGGCAGAGGGATGGGGATATAGGATCTGAAGTGGGCTCTGCGCTGACAGCAGCAAGCCCCATGTGGGGCTTGAACTCACGAACTGTGAAATCAGGACCCGAGCTGAAGCCCGATGCTCAACCAACTGAGCCACCCAGGTGCCCCTACAGCAACCTTTCTTGAACTGTGATTTGCACAGATTATCTGGAGCACTCTTTAAAAAACAGGGCTCCTCAGCTGGGTCACTGAATCCAAATTTCCTGGAATAAGGCCTGGGAATCTGTATTTTTTTAAAAAGCTTCCCAGGTGATTCTAATACCCAGGATTTAAGAGTCTAGTTCCTTCCTCCCTCCCTTCCTTCCTTCCTCCCTCCCTTCCTTCCTTCTTTCTTCCCACCGTTTCTTCCTTCCTTCCTTCATCTCTCCCTCCCTCCTTATCCTTATGGGCTGCCCTCAAAATCTAAGCACCACATATTACAGTCTTGGAAGACAGACAACATTCTTAGCTCCAAACAACCACCAATTTACAAATAATACTTTGGTGAAAAAACATGTCTGTAAACCTGGAGCTTGCTGTATGATTACTGGCACTATAAAGAATTTTAGACTCAAATGGAAAGATGGTGATGTTCTTCTTGAAGATATCTAAGGAAAGAGACAGGTTTAAGTGCAAATTCTCATGCTTTATTTGAAGTCTTTATCAAATTCAGAATGGCCCATACATACAGAACTAAGACATGGCCTAAATCCTACACACATTGAAGTTCTGAATTAGGTTGCCATTACCTTTTCTTTTTCCAAACTAGATGACACAAATTTCCATTCATCTTTCCTTGTAGGCATTCTCCCTGCTCTTTGATTACTATTCTCTATTGTTCCTTCAGGTTCTTCAAACGACTCCTGGTTCACCAGCAGGGACTGAAACACCTTCAGGGCACAACTGTACTAATATACTTTGTCATTTGAAGACAGTTTGCATATCTCTTTAGGAGAATCTAACTTACTGTTCAGGAGTGACTTAGATAAGCAGACCCAGATCTAAAGACCTAAAGAGTGATAATCTGTCTCAAACAGAGAAAGTTTCTTTTACAATCCCTCTATTTAGTGGTTCTGCTACATTTGATCTGTAGCCAATTTCCAGGATTCCTATTCTATAAAGATCAGATTCTAAATTTGATCTCGAAGCCACTCCTATTTTCTCTCATTCTCTTCTCCCTGTCCCTGTGAATTCTCAAGTTGTTTTAGTTCATCTTGTTCCTCATGGATTCACCTTTCTGGACTTTCTCTAATGCCTGCAGTTTTCAATTGAACAATCACACTGCTGTTAGAGTGAACTATTAGCCCCCCGTTTTCACCCTCCCCTATATCTGTGCCCTTTGCCACACAACTCTGAAGTTCCTCCCACTGAAGGTTGACCATCTCCTCCCCTGGGTTTTGGGGTGGCCATGACTTGCTTTGGCTAATGGCTTATGGGCAGTTCTGTTTCTGCTCCGCCCTCTTGCTCCTCTGCCATTGCCATAAAAGGAAGCAGTCATGGTTAGCTCATTAGTGCAGGGGGGACAAGCGTAGACTCGTCCAACCTATGTCTTGGAGTCACTTGGCTGAGCTCAGCCAAAACAAGCAGAGCCAGGATACCCCGTCTGCTTAGACTGTAAGAGCTGCAGGATGCTTGTGCTTCCAATGAGCCTTCAGGGCTGTTCAAATGGCTAGGACTGTCAGAGACAACTAAGCCATGCCTGACTAAGGAAAGTGGCTTAGGGGGCTGAGGGTCCTTTAAGGGAAGAGGCAGGACAGCTCCCTTCTTCCCTTGAGATGAGAACTTAAAGACGCTAACCATTCCAGTAGAGAAGTTGCAAGGCATATGAGGGGAAGCAGAAACTGACTTCCAGGGTAGGAAGACACTCCTTCCTCCGGGGGCCCTGAGGAGGAAATGATGCCCATAGGCTGGCCTGCTCCTACAGAAAAGCAGCTCTAGGGAATGCAGCTCACTCCCCAGCAAATGCAATGCCCAGCAGAGCCATGAAAGTGGCAGAAGGAAATAACCTGCCAAATCAAGGCCTAAGCACCCCACCTCCATCCTTTTAGGCTTCTATGATTTCTTTCCTTCCGGATTGGGTATCTATCTCCTCAAGGGGCTCCAAGAGACAGCCTGCATACATTGAGTGAGCTCTTCATTCTATTGACTCAAAAGATAAAAAAAGAGATTTTCCTTATTTTTCTGAATATGGTGATGCCCACCTAAACAATATACTAGCCCCTAACTCTAACACTTCAATCCGATGGTCAATTCAGCCAAAACTCAGTCTCGATTTGAGACTCTCCCTCCACATGGTGGCTCATCCCACAGGTAAGAGTTACCACTTATGAGGCCAAAACAGTGATCTAATATGTATGCAAGCCAAAGAGAAACTGCCAATTTGGTGGGAGGACCACATTTTCTAATGCCGTTTAAGAAAAATAGAAAAGGTCATATAACTAATTTTGTCCTATTTTCCAAATCCTTTTCACCTTCCATCTGTAACACCTACAAGATGAAGTGACCCTGTCAGACTCCGTGAGAAAAGATACACGGCTTCTGAAAAAAATGATTTTAAACAAAATTTTCTGCCCATCGGTGTGTATACTGTCTCCCTTCACATCCGAGGTAGTGAACAGACTGTGTCCAAGCCACTTGGCTCCTAGGATTTTGCCAAGTTAGACTGGAGAGTAATCTCCCAGGCTTTCTCTGCCCAATATGTGGGGTACCCAGTCCCAAACCTTCATTCACCGAATAGCTGTGGAGTGTCTGCTTTGCACCAGACCTATCTGTTGTGGTGATGTAAAACCAGTAAGAAAGGGGCAGGAAAATGATGGAACTTATAACCAGAGCAATGGCGAAGAGATGCTCCTGCATTGTATCCACTGTCCCTCTGGCTGACAGCACTATAGCCTCTCCACTTTGAGACTTCCTACACCATTTCTCCGAGTAGCCTTTTCCTCCCCAACCTATTATATTGTCAATAGTTTCAATAATCCTTGGCTTCCTCATGTTGTGTAAGACACAGCCAGCTGAGCCACTTCTGAGGAGAGAAACCCCCGAGGCTTGGGATTCTGAGTGACTCCATCCTGGCCCTCCCCTGTCCACCTTCCGGGCTTCCAACAGGAAGACCTTTCATACATTCTGGAGGTACTTGTCCTCACAAACTTGATGCCATATTTCCAGGACTAAAATTTTCTTCTTCTAACGACATATATCGATCTATCTAACTAAAATGGCTGGTAATAGTTTAGCCTTTACTCTGTGTATTCTAAAAAAACTGTTTGTGTATATACACATATTCACCCACCCACATATGTGTGTCTATGTATATGCACACACGCACATCACATACAGCTTCTTCTTAGCTAGTTTCCCCACAAGCAAAATTTAGTTAAGCTGCTCTCAGACCTCTTTGAGAGACATTAGGGTCCAAGCAACGTACGGACCTAGGCCTTCAGGGCTTACGGTCAGTCTGTTTTCCCCGGCGACATTACTGGAGTCCCCAGGTACTCTCACAGACCTCATTCACTCCTCGGTATAAAGGCCGGTAGCCAGGTAGCTCTTACCCTTTGTGTTCTAAGAGAGCTTGCACCTCAGGAGAAACAGATGAAGCTCTTGAAGTTGATATTTGAGGCAGGGTTTGGTGGGATGGGATGGAGGGGGAGATTCGGTTCCAAGGCATCTCTGATCACCACCTTCCACCCCCGTCTCATATCTCTGGCTAGGTGTCCTGGGACCTGGTGTGACTACAGTTTTCAAGTGCAAACCTATGTTCTTGGTCCAACCACTGGCCACAGGAGGGTCACTTATCTCCCAGATGGAAATGTTCAGAACCTGGTTGACAACCATAAAGGAACCCAACTCACCCTCTGAGCAGAGCAAGCAGGCAACACAAAGTGAATTTTTAGAGCACAGGGGTGCCCTCATTCAGCTCTTCTATACTCTGTCCTTTCCATTCCAAAACCCCCTGCTATAGTTTCCCCACTTCAGATTGATCAAGTGTAGCAAATTTGAAAACAGACCCGCTCCAGCAGCAATAACAGCTAACAGCCTGATTCATAGGAGGAAAAGGACAAAAGCTGATGGAAGAACTCAAAAGGGGAGCAGTTATTGAAGGGGCAGCCTGCTTCCAACCCCTCCCTGGTCCAGGAAAACAACACTGTACCGAATGACAGCCTAATGCAATAATTAGTACCCAGAGTAATAACTCAGGGTTATCTGGAAAAGTTTAAAGGATACAAATGTATTCTGTTTAGGAATAGAATTCCGAAGCTCTGGGAAAGGGGGCAGGCACTGAGAAAGGCCCCCTAGAGGAGGGTAGTGGTTACTGCACTGTAACACCACAGTGTAGGGAGAGGGGGTGGAGAGGTGTCCTGGGCTGGGAACCACCTACCTCTGAATGTTATCTTCCAGTTGTTTGACTCTGAATTCATCCTCTTCAGACTGCCGCCTCCTGGCTTCCTCCTCTTCGGCAGTTCCAGCGGGGATACCCTGCAGCAGCCATTTTTCCCGAAGCACTTTGGACTGTGGGAGTGAGGGAAGAGAACAAACTAGATGATACCTTTCAGTCCACAGCCTTCTCAGTGTGGGCGGTGCCTCGGTCTTAGCTCCGCCCCTCATCTGTGTTCACCTGAATTGCTGCCTTTGCCTCCTCACTAATTTGGCTCCCTACTTCCCTCCCCTGGGGCCCAACCCCTAGAGAGCCACCAGAGGGATTTATTTCTACATTTTCTACTATAAAACGTTTTTGAAAACATGTTTTTCTAACAGAGGAAACTGAATAATGAATGCCACTGTACCTCATCTAGCTTTACAATGAGACAGTTTGCCGTATTTTCCCATATTTATCACCAAAGCATTTTAAAGGAAATAACAAACATCATGACATTGCACCCATAAGTATTTCAGTATTAATCTCTAAAACATAAGGACATTTTTCTGTGCAACTACAATTCCATTATATAATTTCTTAAGATCACCCAATATCAAGTCCATCTTAGGGTGTTTTTTCAAAAAGGTTAATCTATGTTATGGCTCTTCTTAGAAGCTCTTTAATGGGGGCTCTTGGGTGGCTCTGTCGGTTGAGCATCTAACTCTTGATTTCCGCTCAGGGCATGATCCCACTTTGCACTGACAGCTGGGAGCCTGCTTGGGATTCTCTCTCCCTCTCTTTCTCTCTATCCCTCTCCCCTCCCCCTCCCCCCAATGAATAAACACTTAAAAAAGAAATAAGCTTTTTAATGATTCCCAACCATACTCAGCAGTGGTCTCCAAATGGTATTAAAATAATGCACCCCACTTGTACCAGTGTACTAATATATTGTGGAGTGAAAGAAAAAGGCTTTGAGTCTCGGGTCAACAGTTTGGGAGGGAGCGATTACTGCTTTGAGAAGAGAAATGAAACAGCTCAAAAGAAAGGCATGCGGAAACTCCCTGAAACGAAGAGCAAGGCAAGGAAGGCGTGGGAGAAGATTTTTGATTTGGGTTTCTATTACATGGTCCCGAGAAGGCAGATGGTGGCTATTGGATGTGTGCAGAGGCTGAACCCTGGGCATCATGGCCAAGCATCCCCTGGGCAGGTCAGCAGTCCTGGGAATGGAGGCCTGAAAGGGTGCACCCCCAAGTCTGCCAGAAGCAGGGCATGTGACCAGTTTTTCCCGGGTCCTATAATGGCTTTGAAGCCACTCAACATAGATTATGCATAGAATAAGCACTGGGTTCCCTGACTTCAGGCATCACTTCCATCAGAATCTGGTTTGACCTTGTCAGGCAGGCTGAGCAAGGTAAAACAAAGGGAACCCTTTTGATGGCTAAGAGCCAGGCTATGCAGAGCTTGGAGCCAATTAAATAGGATTTACGGAAATGAAAGAGTGGAATATTTCTAATATTGTGGACACAGAATTCATACTTCAGTTTGCTTTCTACAGCTCTTAGCAAAAGACAGACAATTCCGGAGGCTCTCATTTTTCTTCAGATTAAGCAATAAAATCACTTATTATAAAGCTATAAAATGAGTTACTAAAAATTGCCAACATTTAGTAATAGTAAGTTAGAATTCATTAACGGTTCTGGTTCACCATTCTATTGAGAAATCCAGCAGCCACACAGGGCTGTGAAGACCCTGCTGGATGTATAGGAGCAAGTTGCAATGTTTAGAATTCCAACACTTCTGAAGGGACTTTTTTTTAGCAACACATCAGTACGGTGTCCAAGCAGCCATGGTGTTCACTGAATGATTCTTGCTTTTTATTTATAAATCTTTGTTGGTGCAGGCCTGTTTGATTACTCTTACAGTGCATAAAGAAGCATATTTATAGCAATTGACCTATTGCTTTCCATTCATTAAAGGCATGGGTCTGTTGATATGCAAGTGATTCATGATTATATGCTAAAGTGATTGTAGACAGGAACCACCCTCATCCCAACAGACTTAAACAGCTAAACATCATTGGTAACCTGGTGCCTGCAAATTTATTTACAACTACCACCAAGGACTGTGTTAAAAAAGTACTTTAAATATTTATAGAGCATTGTTTATTAACATAAAATCATGTGTAAAAGTTCACAGTACCAGGGTGCTGGGTGGCTCAGTCGATTAAGCGTCAGACTCTTGACTTCAGCTCAGGTCATGATCTCACAGTTCATGAGATGGAGCCCTGTGTTGGGCTCTGCTCTCACTGCATGGAGCCTCCTTAAGATTCTCCCTCTCCCTCTCTCTCTCCCCCTCTCTTCCCCCACCCTACTCGTGCACTCACTAGCTCGCTCTCTCTCTCAAAATAAATAAACATTAAAAAACTCACAGTATCATTTGTTGACATTGGTTGCTCTTTCTTCTGGGCTGAATTATGGCCCTCTTTCCCCACCAATTCCTATGTTGAAGTCCTAACCCCTACGACCTCATAACATAACCGTGTTTGGAAATAGGGTCTTTAAGGTTAAATGAGGTTATTGGAATGGGCTCTAATCCCATATGACTGGCGTCCTTATAAAAAGAGGACATGCACAGAAAGAAGACCATGTAAAGACACCTGAGGAAGACAGCCATCTACAAGCCAAGCAGAGAGCATGTGAAGAAGCAAGCCCTACTGACACGTTGATCTTGGTTGGATTTGCAGCTTCCAGAATTGTGAGAAAATAATTTTTGTGGCTTAAGCCACCCAGTCTGTGGTGTTGTCACAGCAGCCCTAGCAACTACTACATTCTCTGAAGCTTTATCACAGAGATGCTTCTTCCACTGGAAAGTGGGGATGAGTGGGTTAAACTGGTTTCTCTTCCTAAGTGGGTTATAGGGAAAAAAAAAACCTCAAAAGCATTGTTCTCTACTCAAAATTCCCCAGATATCATGCTCACTTATGGTGAGAGGCTGGGCTGAACAGTGGTTAACAGCCTGAATTCTGGAGCCAGTCTGCCACTTACTAGCTGTGTGACCTTAGATAGTCTCCTCACCCTCATCGAACCTCAGTTTCCTCACCTGTAAGATGGATGTGATGACAGAGCCCATCTCAGGCTTGTCACGGGGATTAAATGCATTCATATGCTAAAAGTGCTGAACCCACACTTAGTACTAGAGAAATGTTTATTATTGCTGTTCATCCTGTTCCCCTGGCCTCTCCTCCCCTCATCTGAGAAAGAGCAGGTAAAATGCTACCTGAGGAACCTTCCTCCACTACCGCTGGTAGGATCCATGGCTCTCTTCTCTGCCTCCTCTAGCAGACAGCATACTCTTGTGCACTTTCATACTGTTCTCAAATTCTTTCTTTTTATATCTTTCCTCCTATGGACTCCCAGCTCCTCAAAGGCTGGGACAATTCTTCATTCTCTCTTGCATCTCATTGCTGCCCCTAGCCTGGCTCCAGGGAATGAATGAGTAAAGGGGTGAGGTGGAAAAATCTTGATTTTTCTATCACGCTAATTCCTTGGGAGGGGGCTATCACACTTTCACTGGGCTCCCTCAGCTGAAAATGTTTGACACTCACCTAGTTCAACTTATAGAGGGTAAAATCCCTATTAGGATTTTGGGAGACAGATCTACTGGCAACCTTGGTCTTAGAGTGTGGACCCTTCTGGAAAAGCAACCATGGACAGACCCAGCTTTCTCTACCCTAGCAGGGATGTTACACAGCTAGGGCTTCTTGGAACATGCACTGGCTGCTCCTGGGAATGTTCTCTCTGCTCTTCTGCACACTGTGCCTCCTGCCACCAAGAAAGTGTCTAACTTCTCATTTCTGGCTGATTTAGCCTTAGCCATCTGTCAGCACCTCTGGAAAGAGCAGCCTGGTGACCATGAACACCGAAAGCACATACGCCCTCGGATCTGTCTCTTCTTTGGATAAGCCAGTGAGGTCACCAAAACATCCCCAAAAGCTGGAGCCAAGAAGAGAGACAATAACAACAGGACAGTGGGTCTCAGAGAAGTCTGTTTCACAAAAGTGTTTTGATGTTATAGAAACAAACAAACAAACAAAAAAGCAGAGTTGATTTTTTTCACTTGGACCCAAAGTGGTAATGCTGGGAAACCACCAATTCAAATACATTTACCACCAAAGATTCCCTTAACCTACACCAGATCCCCTCCTGTTGTCTCTGAGGGTCGGCTGTGTTATAGCCTTGGGACACAACGTACTTGTCCATTCTGATCACACACGCCCATTGGAAGCACTGGTTTCCCTGTAGTGTTCTGGCCTTTACTGGCTGCCTGAGTGTTTCAGAATTAAGTGACTGTCTAAAATAAAATACTAAAAATAAAAACTTTTCTTTCTTATGTTCAAAGAGCATATACCAAAAACAGATACCATAGTTTACAGGTGGTAAGAACTGTCAAAACTTCACATTTGTCAAGTGGATGCAACGATGAAAAGTCAAGACAAGGAAAGGGCAGGCAGAGAGCTGGCAGTGGGCAAACAGAGTCTCGACAGGGGCTCCTTGGAGGGAAGGATGGAGGAGACGCTGAGTTCATCTGGCTCTTCCTCCACACGTGTGTCCAGCTTCAGAAAACAAAAGGAGAACAGAGCCTCGCATGCTGCAGTATGCGTAGGGCTCACCAGGAGAACTTGCACAGAACCCCACTCCCGGCGATGTTGATTCTCAAAGTTCAAGATAGGGTCTGGGAATTTGAATTTTAACAGGCTCCCACGTGATGCTGTCATTGACGCTGCTGGTCCAAGGACCTTGGTTTGAGTCACCCTTCACTAGAACCTGTGACTATCCAGATGTCTGGAGAATGCATAAGCTTCGCCACTGGCTAGCCAAACACTGATCCGAAGAGGAGCTCTTCATCCTCCCACAGGCTGTCTCTCCTCCTGCATCCCCATCTGAGGAGCAGTGGTGTCCTCATCCATTCCCTACATGCCAGGCACTCTGCCGGCTCCTGAAGACACTGCCTGGAAGACAGGCAGGTCCCCAAGATCGCTGAGCCTTTGTCCCAATAAACAAGGGTGCAAGACCATTTCAGACTGTGATACCAGCATTGCAGGAAGTAGGTAGGACAATGTGAGAAACAGGGACTGATGGAAGACACGTTAGGT